GGCCACTGAGGTTGATATTGTGCTATTAAAGGATATGTAAATCTGAACAATTAACTTCTCCTATTTGCTCCCTATTGGCCTGTTACATATACAATTGAAAGTGCTTTGTTATATCATCAATAGGTGCATACAAATACCTGTTGATCTGGCTAGAAATCCAGTGATGTCCTGTGCACCCTACAGTGTTATCTCAAACAACATTATCAGAATTGTGGGATAGGGTTAGAGAACAGCTCCCCCTATGTTATAGACAAGAGGAGAGAGAGGGAGCTGTTCTATAGCCTTTTCCTAGGGCGACAACGCTGCTCCTAGAGTACAGTGAGTGAGCATTGTCCCCCAAGAAAGGAGAGTGTTAAAAGGAAGAATTGCTTCATGATCGTACTTTAACAATATACCAATTGGATTTTATACTTTCCTTACCCAGTCTTTCTTCTGCTGGATCCTGGAATACACCGAGAAGACCAAACCTCACAAGAAGGCCCTTCTGCAATGGACTAGAGTGTCTTCTTGTGAGACCTGGTCTGCTCTGCATAAACCAGGAATCTTCCAGGAAGGACGGTGGTGTCACGGCCTGCAGTGCCGGAGACGGAGGTGAAGGTAGGTACCGTATGTATATCATCTGACTTTTTTTCCTCAACGTATATTTTAAGTACTATTAGGTAGTAATCTTAGAGGAGGAGGGGACCCAAACCTAATAAGTGGTCCTTGCATTTTACTGCCAGCTTTGTATTGAACTGGCAATCTATTGGCATAGCTGATATTTAAGACTTTCTCTTATTCACATGAAAAAACATGAAAAATACAGAATGTAAACACAGTAATGTAAAATTGGGGTGAAACATTTACTTCATAGCGAGACCCCAGGCCACAGTCTTTTTGATCCAACAGGCACTGTGTAGCTAGGCGCCCATCTAATAAATAATGAAAACGGAGGATACACCTTGTGTGCAATGGTCCCCCCCTTACATAATTACAGTTATGGATTCCGGCACATGATGTTAATGTCCGTTGGGTAACAGAGAGGTAATGCAGGTGATGGGAGTCTAGTCATATAGCCTTTTGGATGGCAGATGAGGCTGCGCAGGGGTGTTGGCTGAAAGGGGGAAGGTTAGGGCTGCGCCTGTCCGAAGGCAGATATGAATGGGGGCCCTTCACATAGAGCTGGGGTTCATCTGCCGCCTGCGGCGGGGGGAAAAGGACTTTGGTTGCATGGATTCAGCCAGGCTGGAGGGAGATCCAGAGACCACCGGAAAGTGAGAGAGGCGAGGAGTGTGAGGTAGATGTTCCGCAGAGGACTCATAGCTGTGGAGGAGGAGAGGACAAGAGGAGCAGCAAGAGCAAAGGACAGACAGGGAAGGGTTTAAAAAAAGGGGGGGGGGGGGG